TCAGTAACAGAGCCAAGAATAGGAGTCAGATTTTCTGATTCACAGTCCTGTGACTGGCTACTGAATCTCACCAGCTCATCCAACTGTATTTAGTGTTTCATTATGCTCTTTATTAACAGGTTATGGGAACATCAGTAAGATTGTTTGGCCCCAAAGTTGTGCTAATTTTCTCCTTCCACTACAAAAGGACATGGAAATGCTAACCTACCCTAGTTATGTAACTCTTAAACAACTTTGTGACGATAAACCAAATTTGGGGGGAAGGAAATCAATATAGTGAACACAGTCTATAAATCAAAAATGCCTTGATAGTATCTTTTAAAAAAATGAAATTAGAGCTCTTGATTTCTGAAAGCCAGGCAGATTTAGGTTTGCTGAATTTCTCCTGGTTCTACACTATTTGCATAAGAAGTGCAAGCAGAGTAAGATCTTCAGAGTTCAGGCCAGAAATCATGCAAGTACTTTATTTCTGAACTGTTTCTCTTTGTTTGAGTTCTGAAGCAAATGTTTTAATTAATTCACAGTAAATAGTTTATCATTTATTTTTGCACACATGGATATTGAGAATCTCTCCTAGAAAATTAAATAGATGAACAACAACAAAACAATCAAATTACAATACACAGAACTCAAATGTGAGAAAACAAACATGCATTTTGCAGGCAACCATATTGAAAAATTTTTGCAGCTTGCTATACAGAATATTAATGAGATGAAAATATATTTTCCTTGCATTCAAGTACAAAAATGCAACAAGATTCAGCCTTAGGTTTTAAGCTTTTAAGGTGATACACAATTGCTACCTACACTGAAAGCCTATCAAAGGGCCAGGCATTTTGTCTGAAGTTCTTCTCTGAAAAAAGAATTATCTGTACCCTTTTAACCAGCCTACCTACTCTCTGTGTGGATTCATACTTATATTTGCTTACCCTAAAGACAAAAATAAGTTTACACAACGTTTTACTCCTGTAAGTAACATGGAGCCAAAAATACCTATGCAGGCATCAAGTTGGGTTCTATTCTAGTTCTTGAGTCAATAACAGAATAAATTAAATTTGAACTATGGTGCCAGTTTTTTCTCTCATTACATTGATGCGCTTCCACAGACAAATTTATGAGCACACCAGAGGCTGTGAGGCTGCAGAGATTATGTTTGAAGACATAATATGAAGACAAAAAGATGAATTCAGTGATGGTGCATGAGAAGCCTGACTTCTAGATCCCAGTGAATTCTGCAGGGATAGAGATCAGAAACTTCTCTGCCCCGGCTTACTTCTAAAATGCTCATTTGATGCAAGTCAGTGACACAATATGAAACCACATAAAAACCTCTTTTTTTTTTAGAATCATTGTTCAGAGAAGCACCTGCTTTAAGTAGGAACTTAATTCCAATTTTAACATCCCTGTTTATAAGATTCAGTAATACCAGAGTAACTCAGATTAAGAACAAAGTAGCAGCCACAACTATAAATGTATTTGACTTCCCAGATAACACAAAACAAAAGCAGTGAAACCTGCATAGGAGGCTACCTTTATCTGGTGACCTCTTGTCTCCAGAGAATGCCCCAACTTATCCTCTCAAATTCAGAACACATTTCTGCTCCACCTCTGTTAGAAGGCATATTGTGATAAGCAATCAATTTGTTAGATTTTAGGTTTCACCAAGCTGGGTTGTTTAAACTGTTTTTAAATAAAGCAGTTAAATGTGACAATATGAAGGTATGTATTATTAATACACAGCTTGAAAGCAAGGCAGGACTCAGATGTATATTCAACTATGTGAACTCATTGTTTCAAGTACATTGTTCCACTTCAAAAATTAACCTTTTAAAGTTTATAGTCCTAGGTTTGGCTGTGGCTTTTTGGAAAAAAAGAGGTGCTTACTCTGAGAATTATGGCAGAGTTCTGTATGGTGTAAGGGCAACAGATCTTCTGCCCTTTCACTAATGTAGCTCATCATGTTTGGATCTGGTTGTGGGAAGGATTTGCAGATCTGCATTTCAGAAACAGATGGTCAATGTTCAACTAACAATTGACAACACCCTAATCCAAACCAGTTTGAGAATGCCATGGTTATATACAGTATAAAAAAAACATTTAGCAATAGATAAAAAGGTGTAAATTTGTTGTGAAACAGGATACTACTTGCATTGTTTGAAATATCCAGACAAATGCATAAACCAAGCAAACATTAGGTAATTGTAGATTCACTTGCTAGTAAGTCTATACAAACTGCATTGTCCTCATAGCAGCAGCGAATTTGGTCTGTAAGATGTAAACAGGTAATTATGCATAGCCATGAGAAGAGAAATCACCTCTTGGGTAAAGCGCCTTTTCTTCACACTGGGTAAAGCGTCTTGCTGATTCCCGGAACCATCACTGCCAAGAGAGGTCTGTTTCCTTTTGTTGGAGTCCTGTAGGCATGTAACTGAGCCATCCAGGGGCTGTTTCTCAAAAGGTCTGGATGCCACGGAGCAGTCTAGTGCTTCATCTTCATTTTCCGTTTCTACTTTGACAATATTTTTTTTAATATTTTTTACTGGGGAAAAAAAGTTTTACAACAATAATGAGCTTTCTCCAGAAACTTGTATTTTAATTCTGAAGCTGCCTTGTGAACAGTGGGTGATTAGTATGTCTTGTTTTTCTAGTGGTGTTAACTAAAGCCTCACCCAAGCCAGGGCTCCACTGTGCTAGGAACAGTGCAAAACTACAGGGTATAACAGTCCCTTCCCCAAAGAGCTCACAGTCTAAAAAGACACAAGTGGTGAATAGAAGATGCAGCAGGCAGAAGTCTGGAGCCAGGGAAAAGAAGATGGGTAACAAAAATAACGGAAGTTTTTTTTAGTTTGCACTTTTAGTCATTTAGAATTTTTGTTTCACCTCAAGCAAGAGGTATAAAGTCTTTCTGCTATAAGTAGTTATGTCCAACTAAAATATATACAGAAGACAGCATTTTACCTTCATCATCCTCAGTGAATTCAGCTGAGTTCATCTTCTATCCCACTAAATTAAAAAAAGACATTATCAGGACTTTTCTGAATACAGTGCAAAGGTGTGTTTTCAGCCTTATGCTAACAGGTTTGCATCATTTTATTGAGCTATTATCACTTGCTGTTCATGGACAACATTAAATATCCTTGAGTCATCTATCTGCCCTAGGAAGCTGCTAGTTTTCTCTGATGGAGTTTCTGGCTACCTGCAACCTGCACAGCACTGTAAAGTGAGCTACAAAAAATCTATAATACACCTAATGGTTTATAACTGGACATTTTAATTTTCTAATATAAAGAACACCAATGCAGTCATTTTAACTTTTTTGTGATAGAAGTGATCCTGGCAGTGCATAAGTGAAAGTACTCTAAATTATTTTTTTGACTACCTTTAAAGAGAGCCAAAAAAATTTGGAGTCCGTCGAGTGACCATTACAAACACGTTTCATTGTGGGGTAATTCTCACTGGTTAACACAGTGAAAAAATGCATTCTGAACCTTTTTATATGTAAGAATAAATCTTCATTACAACCACCCCCTCAAATGCTATTGTGATCTGAACCATGTTATTTTAAGTGCAACAATCCACAGCTTTACAATAATCTTTTTTTCCCCTTATTATCAATTGGTGACTTTCAAATAACATCAAATGCTTTTATTATGGAAAAATAAATGTTGTAATTATTTAAGGCATTTTTAACATCATTATTTCCAAGCAGTCTTCTGTTGCTAAAGCCTGAATGGTTCAGTATTACCAAAGAAAACAAATCTGGTTAAAAAATAAGGGGGAAAAAAACCCCAT